CATGGAGATTTATGCTTTAAACACACCGGGACGTGGGCAGAGCAGGACAACATGCACATCATTTTTTACCATCAACACATTGCACCGTTAGCACTGAAGTGCGATGAGACCCAACATTTCTCTGGGCTTCAGCAAAGGGTAGTTTTCTTTGCACACAGCAATGTGGTGTCATACTCCATCAATGTGTTCAGAACTGGAGATGGTTGACATCCATCTCCTCTGTCAGGAGACTCAATTTTTGAAAGCTCATGTGTGGGACATCGCTCAGAGAGGGTCCCAATTTTGATGGGATTGTTTTTCGAAAAGCTAAACAACTTTTCCATCTTAAAAGTCCTCCTTTCACTCTGGCTCATTTTTGACTCCTGTCTGACCTCATATCTTCCCTTTACTACTGTTATTTAAACTTAAGTAGGTCCTGCAGTCCTCCTTATTAAGTTCAAAGGGCGCAAATATATTTTGCGATGCTGTATCTCACTGATTCCCGGATCAGCTTTAAGTACAATAAGCTCACCGTGGTTAAGCTCTGCCTGTACCGTATCCACTTCCTTCCATCCATCGGAGTAGCAGCCATCACACCTGTCTCCAGCTGAAGTGTGGCTGACAGCACCGATTAGCATGACATCAAGTTCGACATCTTCATTCACATTTCAGTGCTCTCCTGTACCGTCTGTCACCTGCACGCATCGAGTCCTCCTCAGCAGGCAAGCGTTTTATTTTCCCAGGAGTGTCACGGCTTCCAGGAAGCAAGATCATCTGACCGGCAGAAATTCGTTTCTATCCTTTTTTATTTTGTCACATCCTAAGTTTGGCTTTATCTGAAGTTTGCAGGGCTTCAGATGAGTGAGAAGAGGATTTGCTTCTCACAGAAAGCTGCTTTTAAGAGACAGAGCTGTAGAAGAACTGGACACATTTGCTAAATGTTCTTCAAAGTTACCCACAGCATAAAATTACAGTAAGCTGTCAACAAAGCCAGGGGTTGTGTGCTGTCGTCAGCATCAGAAAATCCCCTCAGAGTATCAGGACGTAATATCTGACACAATGTCCCGTCTGTTGATACTTGTTCTTTGTATTCCTGTTTTCTTCTCTGAAGGAATTGGTAGAAAATCCCATGGAAATAAAGATCTATTACTGTACACGATGCACCATTTCCTCTCTTGTCATCATTTTATTTCATATTCACTCTGGCTATCACATTCCTTCTCTCATTAACCATGACTTCAAGCATGAAAAGCTGCTCTCCAATAACCTCCATTTCTCTATCCTCACTGGCCTTTTTTGCTTGAAGCTGTTTCTTTTCCCTCGTCCTGATCTCTTTCTCCCACAACCCCCTCCTATTTCTTTCTCAGATCATTTACTTCCGCTTTGTTCTTTGCAGATTAGGGTCGCACTCTGACGAAGCCTGTCCGTGGACTTCGGGAGTCTCAGGGCCTCGCCGCCTCATTCGCAGAAATCTCTTTTGCGCGTATTTGTGCCGCTTCTGCATTTACTCTCCACTTCTGAAACCGTCGCTGAGACATGTCTGACTCACATTCACCACATTTTCCTAGAACAGGAAACGAGAGTACAGTTCATGGAGCATTTAAAGAAAAGGTGGTTGACTTCAGTTATGTGAGGCTAACGTTTGAGGCCATCTTTGTTTTGCACTTTCTTGATGGATCACTTCAACGTGCCTTCCTGGACAAGGAAAAGGAGAAAAAGACTTAATGGGGACTTTTTAATGTTGCCTCTCCTTCATTATGCCAAACTGACACAACTTACCAACTGCCTGCCCTTCTCACTCCGCAGCCTGACTTTCCAGCAGACAATTCTGAACCTGTTTGCTGCAGGGGATGGTTTGGTTTGGTTTGGTTGTCCAAAACCGGCTTTGGAATCAGTGAAAGCAATACACTTTGACACTCATGACGTGCTGAGACACAGGATGTGAGAAGTGAAAATGTTTGTTTGCTGAAGCTTGTGTATTTATGTCTCTGCTCATGTGTTAATTCTAAAAGAAAGACCAAATCAAACCACACATTATCAGTCTTTAAAAATAACAAGCCTTTTATAACAAACCTGTTATCTCAGTTTGGCTGGGACTTCATTCATGCAGTCTGAGGTGCATGGGTGGATTTCACTGAGGACTTCCTCGTACGGTCCAAAATCACTGATGTTGCATGTCTTCCCAAATTGTTTTCAAGTGTGAGTGTATGCACACGAACGCTTCTGTCGAACAGACATGTGAAAGCGAGGAAATAGGGAATGATGTAAAGATTGTGGTTGACAGCTGGTTGGGGTCGATTGAACGGTCTCACAGAGCCTGACTGTCATTGCTTTTGTTGAGGCCAAATGCGGACAGGCTATAAAAGTCCAGGTTTCAAAGTGAACAACGATCCACTGATTATAACTTAAAGAAAATGTCCACGGGTGGCAAAGGCACCAGCAGCTCAGGTGCTGAGTTCTTTATTTTCCTTCTGTCCTCTTTCCATTACCTCCACATGCCTACAGAGCAGAGAGATTGCTGCAAAGTTAATAAATCGCTTTAATTTAATTGACTTTTCATTGACATACTTTTACAAACTGGCATTATATGATCACTTGTGTGTCACAAAATTGTGAAGCACTGCAGATTTAATTGGTCTGTATTTAATCTGACTGATTGGTGTGTATTGGAATTAATTTGACTGATCTAGAAAGAATTTGGACCATTCTGGATTCTGGCTTGTAGGATTCCTTAGTATTACATTGGATCTGAAGTCATCCATCCATTGTCCATATTTCCCTAACGGTGGAGCGTATCTTCGAGTGTCATAGGAAGAGATATGAGGTGTGCTATACCAGGGCAACTTAGAGACAAACAGGAAGGGTACGCATGCATGCACACGCTCACACACTGACTTTTTAAATATGACCTGTCCAGCAGTGTAGCACTCAGAGCTGCTGTCTGAGAGCCAAGATGAAATCCAACAGATTTACTTTCATAAGAGGAGCGCTACAGCTTTTGCTACAATGCTCAGTTCGGTAAAACCTGGGAAAGAGCTTTATCAAGTGGATGTAGATGGAAAAACTTTATTTAAAATTGCTTTGGGTTTATTTCAAATGCAGTGAAAACAGGGAGGGGGAAAAAGGACAAAAGAGAAAAAAGAACGGAAGAGAGGTGGGTTGAAAAGGAAAGAGGGAAACACAAAGTCTGCTTCAAAACATGCAGAAAGACAGAGAGAAAAAATGTCACTGAAAAGCACATGATTCTAAGTAAAACAAGAGATATTTAGTGGCAACCACACCAAGACAGACTGTCGATGATTGAAAAAAAACCTTGTATGTTTTTTGACTGTGGAAAGAAGTCGGAGAACCCACACAGGAACATGGAGAACATGCTAACTGCATGCAGAAAAACCACAAGTAGGAATTCAAACCCAGGACTTTTTTGCTACAAGGCAGCCGCTCTACCAACGGCTTCCCTGCGCAGCCTGTGAGTTGAATGTGTAAATAAAGTGAATTGAATTGAGGCCTGCTTGGTGGTTGGTTACACTCCCACTGTCCCATTGGTCTCTGTGTTGTCCCATGAAAGACAGATGAAGTGTTCAACATATACACCACTGCACTGCTGGAGATAGCACTCCTCTGCCTCTGACCCTGCAGGAATACACAGTGAATGGCTGAATGCTGTTAAAGCTGAACAGAAATTTGCAGAAGAAAGTATGATAGGTGTTGGTACTGTTGTAATACCCCAAACGTAACAGGAGTTATAGGATTGTCTTTGCTCTTTCTTCAGTGAAGTGTTTTTTATTTCAGTGAGTCTGCTATTGATTTGATTTTCCTCAGTTTTTGTTCTACAAATTTTAATGTCAACAAGGAAAGATGAAAGAACAAGTACTATGTATTAGGGGCACAACAATATATCAGTGCTGATTTTCTTAATTTTGGGAGATCAGATCTTGGCCGATGCTTTCATGTGAAGTCAGTTTTATCCACCGATCTTGTCTACCTCAGCAAATGTCTAAATATCAATCACTGTCTCTGCTGTGGGAGAGTTGACTGAGAGACCAGGTCATGTCTGTACAGTTAACAATAGTTAACAATAGTTACCCCACCGTCACCAACTCATCAACTTTCTTTGTTAGATTTATATTTCTGACTAAACAAATTAGTGTCGGGCAAAATGGGAATCGGAAGGTCAGGTGTTTTGAAGATCGATAATCTACCAGAAAACTGTATTTGGTGCACATCTATCAAGTCTAATTGTTGCATATATATACTTTTTTTTTCAACATTTTGTTTGAATTTTGCAAATACACATTTATGTTTACAATCGTTTCATAGCTTGAAGTTGCTTGGACGTTTCTAAATTGATGCCAGCTCAATAAAATGGTGGGACTGCTGCTAACCCAGGATGACCCAGAGTAGATCATTAATAAATTAAAATCATCGTTTGAAAATGAGAAAGAGGCAACCTCAGTACTTATGATGTGTTAATATAATCCACATAAAGGTCATCTGTCTTCCAGGAGTCATTCCTTAGTCACAGAAAACCTCTTTTTCACTCCGAGAATCATATTTCACTCTGATTCAATTCTTGCGTCATTAGTGGAGTAATGTGTTAAAACTACATGCAAATCAGACCAAAGGCCTGTTTGTTTCAGGCTCTTTGGTTGCTAATTCTCTCATCTTACGTCCCAATAATATTAATTCCCAGCTTTTTTTTAAGTGTTGCTTTGAAGGGCATCCCCAGCCACCGACCTCGAGGCAGCGAGTGCCCTTTTTATTACCGCCGTTATTCATCACCCTCATCTGCTCCATCCCCCATGCTTCATTTTCATCACTCTGCTCTCTTACTGTCTTGGCGTCTCTCTTCCCCGGTGTCACTGTCCCTTTCCTTTCTTGTCACCCTGATCTCATTTGCCCTCTTCCTCTGACTCTTTTTGTCCGCTCTGATCTCAGTAACCCCCCGGTCCCTCACGGCCCCTCTTGTCACCGTATCAGCTCTGTCTTTAATCACACTCTCTGTTTCGTCTTCTTTTCAGGCCCATCCCACCCCGGAATTTCATGGACAAATCGACCCTGCTGAGAACCGTCTATTGACCCTGATGCCGACGCGCCGCTTGCAGCTGTAGAGCAAGAAGGCAAAAGAGGGAGGAAGACCGAGGGGGCCAACGGGGAAAGGTCAAAGATTACAGGGCTGCAGCTGAAGCTGAGGTTGAGGAGCAAGGGCTTTGGGAGAGAAGGTCAAGGGTCGGCGGATCAAAGATGATGACTTCACATGGAAAGCTGAGGAGGGAGAAGGGCAGCGTGGCGGAGTACGAGTCGCAAATGAAGGGTTAGTGTCTGCGTACATACACCTTTTACCATGCATGAGTGCATTAAAGATGCAGTGATGCATGATTGTATGCATCCATGTAGATCCTTGTATGCAGGAGAGGGAGCGCTCCTGCAAACAAATGCATCATGTATCCAACATAAATAGCACTTCATGGAGCTGACATGTTACAGAAAGTGAAAGGGGCAGTCTTATGTATTTTCCAGACACGTAGCACCATTTTATAATCCAATCAGGTAACTATGTTAACTTCTGTTGTTAAAAAATCCATTTATATCAAAAATGACTCAGAAAATACTTTGTCTTCCAATTTAACGCCTTGAAATTGGGCCTCTGATTAAAAATAAAAACAAAAAAACAAAACTCCTGCTCTTTATGAAACTCTGCCTTCAGGAAGTCATCATAACATGGCTCCTCTTTTAACCCTTTGACAATATTTTTACCAGCATTTCCCTGAGAAGAAGTTCCTATAATAAGCTCAGCAGATGTTGCATTATCACCAGGTGTTTGGTAATTGCTGCTGGCTAGTCTGAATGAGCAGGGAGGTAGGAAGGGGCTGCAGGGGAGGGCTGCAGGGGAGGGCTGCAGGGGAGGGATGCAGGGGAGGGCTTCTCTGTGAGGCAGAAACTCAGAAGCATGGTCTCTCTTGAGGAGCTGTGCCTTGAAGGCGGGGCTAAGTCCTCCCAGGCAATTTGCAGAGCTGGATATTTGCCATGGGAGATTAAGCAATTGGTCAAACATGCATGAAAAAATCAACACTCCAGGTGTGTTTTTGATGAAGAAATAACTTAATATAGAGATCAAAAACCTAGATTTTGCACAACACTTCCCCTTTAAAACAAATTTTGTCTGGTAATTTTGCAACTTTCTTCTGTGTTAAAAAGCTTGTCCTGGCAATATGAGGCAAATGCATGACAACAGCTTGTTTATGTTTGCTACAGTCTGGAATGTGCGTGTCTCACCCCGTTGCCTCTCTGTACTTTACTACAACGGGGGGTATTTATAACTAGCATTAGCAATGTTGTCTCCTCACATCGAGTCAGCCTGGAGCAGTGTACTCAGAGCAAGAGGGGAAGAAAAGAGTACAGAGGAGGAGGGGTGATTAATGAGTATAATAGTAGAAAGTAAGGAAGAAAAAAAAGAATGAGGGGTGAAGGAGCAAATTGAAAGCAGTGACATCTCACAGAGCAATGTTTGTCTTAGTCATTTTATATTAAAAGTGCAGTGCAGTGGATCTGCTGTGTTTGCTTACAAGCTTGTGCATATAATGTCATGTTATTACTGGATTACAGCAGGCGATGATCCATCAATTGCAAAGTAGATTGAAACACACCTCTCAGAGACAGCATTTTATTCAGGATTTTTACAAAAAGAAGAGTCTTTCATTATTCAGGAATAAAAGAGTGCTGACAGTGCCATGGGGGTTCATGTGATTCAATGGGGAGCACTGCGAGCTAAAAGGTCAGTCATGCTAACCATAAAGCACTGATCACAAAACTGAGAGAGCTGCTGTGTAAACAGTCACTTCAAAATAACTACTTGAAGAATTGTTTGCAGACAGTAACCAAAACGTCATCGATGTCAAATTTTATTCAACTGAAAGTTTGCAAAGCAGATCAGGTAAATTGGAGCATCAGAATGTAACTGGATGCAAAGTTCGCTAAACATTTCAAGGTCAAGAAATGCACTAATAGTGCTGAACAAAAAATTAGCTTTGCAATTAGCACATTAGCGAAAGTGTGTCCAAAACTATGACAGACCAACACGAAGCAGCAAGGTAATTTGGAGCTCTAACACTGCACAAAACGTTTAACTGTTAGCTGTTGGGATGTTATTCTTTAACAGGAACTTTGAAGCTGTTCAGAGCTAAATACAGAATTTCCTGCAGGCTTCACAGTGTTTTGTGGTAGAATAGCTGCTAACTCAATCACATTGTGACATATTTTAAACAGAGGACATAGCAATGTTTGAAATATCTTTTAAAAACTGGTAGAACTTTGTGTTCAGTATTCAGTGTTATCAGGCAATATCCTGACCGGTAAAGAAAGTTCTGTTATATTTTCCTACAAAAGCAACATGCAGATCCTTGTGAAGCACATTCTTTCATTGAGAGAATGCATATGAAATAGTAAGTATGCTCTTTTTTCGTGAAGTTGTTGGCATTTGTTGCACAAATAAAACGCAGATGTTTCCTCTGATTGGCTGACATATGATGAGCACTAGCACCATGATTAAATTATGACTATAGCTCATGTAACTGTTTAGATTCTTGTCTGGTATGATTTTTAATTCATTGTCACTTAAACAAGCTCATTCACGTGTGATTTAATTTAATCTCTTAGTTAAATGCAAAATTGTGTTTTTCCAACATTAGCAGAATAAAGATTTGCACACATTTGTAAGTGAAAAGCAGCTGGTATGCATCTTTTATCAGTGAAGAATGTATATTAAAATCTAACACACTGTAAATATGATTAAGCATGTTTATATTTTTAGTCTAAAGGAAAGATTAATGACACCTCTAGTTTGAAAACAGCATCCTATCTCTGTTCACGGTGTTTTCACGTGTTGTCATCAATATGTATTTATTCTGTCTTTCTCTCTGTCTCTCTGACGTACCAGACTTGCGGGCCCAGCTGACAGACCAGATAAAGATTTTAGACTCCCAGGTGGAGGTGAAGCAGCAGCAGCTCTCAGATCTGTCTGAGTTTCTCAGGCGCCGAGGCGACATCGAGACTGAATATGCAAGAGCCCTCGACAAACTAACCGAGAGGTTCACTCACAAGACTAAAAAGTAAGGCATGAGGTTGTCTTTCTTTCTGCTCTCCAAAGAGCAACCTATAGCGCCTGTTTGGTGTTGTCAAACAGGCGTCCATTGAAAGAACGGGGCAGTGATCATGTTATTGTCCATCCGTCCGCAGGAAGGAGCAGTGGGGTCAGTCTGTGTGTCAGGTCTGGTCCGTTCTGCTGACTCAGACCCGTCTGGAGAGCCGGGAACACGCGGCGCTGGGGGACACCTGCTTCAACACGCTCACATTGAGCCTGACACACAGTGGCGAGGACGCACACCGCCTGCACAAAAAGGTGAAAGCAACGTCCGCCGTTGCAAACGCAACTCTGACTTTACGGAACAGCAGAGCTCCAAGAGCTTCGCTGTTAACCTTTGTTCATTTGTTCCAATAGTGAGATCAGCTGCCTCATTCGATTACAAAGTGCACAGGACGCTGTTTGAAATGACTGCGTGTCAGTGATGTTCTCCGAACCTTTTTGCACTTTGAAATTTGAGCTGAATCTTAACTAGGTTTCAAGAGTTGTTTTATAGCAGCTGAGAGTTTTTTTATTTTGAGGCCTTATTGCAGCTGATCAAAAAATAAATTAATTAAATAAAATAAAGGTGCACAGCCTTAAAAACAATACGGTACTGACTCCTTTTAGAAACATCACACAATACCTCAATTATTTTTTTCAAAAGAAACATGCTTCTTTGAAAGTATATTCTTTACTTTTCATTATTTAAAAAAAACATCAAAGTAAATCAAACCCAAGTAAGGTAAAATACCTCAAAGCAACTGTCATCTTCATGTCTATGCTCTGAGGTTGAACATAAGCAATTTTAGGCACATTAAGAGCAAAATTAAACATTTGTTCTTTCTGTCTGGCATTAAATCAGAGTGAACCTATTTATGTCAGTGAGGATTATGAAAAACAAAACTGCAGAATAATGAGCGAGGTAACTTTCTTCAAACAGAATTGTACATAGATTTTCTTAGAAATTGGTCTCACGTGTTTCCTATTTTTTCCCAACAAATGCCATTAGATGCAAACACTTCAATTGGAGTTTCATCAGACCAGAGGACAGATCTCCTAGCAGAATATCATTAACATTCACTTTTTTGGTTTTTTTTTATTAGTTTTGGATTAATGGCTTCTTCTCTGGGTCGCCTTTCAGCCTGTGTCAATGCAAACTTTTGCAGTGTATAAGTTAAACTGAAACATTGCGAAATAATTTATCAGAAACTTACAAATCAATGACATCTATATCTGGGCTTTACAAAATCTTTCACAGGTATAATAATGTTCTCATAAATTTTGAAATGTAACAATCCTCTCTTAATGTTCTGCCAAATTCTTAGATGTTGGTCAATGTAGCTGGTTAATGCTAGCCATGATCCAAGTTGTTTTGATATGACTCTTCGGTAAAGTTGGCTCAGAACATATGTTCTTGTCTGGAGTCACATCTATCGGGCTGTTAACCAACAGAAAAGCGTTTCTCCTTCTTTATAGAACAGTAAGGTGATAGATTAAGTATTTTTTAATCATCTAGTGTGTCAGTTCTGAGCTCTAGTCTGGTCTCTCAGTCACAGACGGAAATCTGATCCTCAGACAAAGTTGAGGTGACCTCACTGGGCTTCTCTTCCTCTGTTCTTCCTTTGTAAATGTCATAGCAAAGGTTTGAAAAAAGTTTTTATGAGAAAAAAAAATCAGATGTACTATCTAGTTAACCAAGGAGAGAGAGGGCAGGTTGTTTCACATGTTAAACATATGATTTATGTCAGTCAGGATTATGAGTTAAAGCTCGTCTTAAAACCCATTTATTTTACTTGGCTTTCAACTCCAGCGAGATCTAGTTTTATATTGTATGTTTGTTGTTTTAAACTGTATTTGTTTTTATCTATTTTATGTACAGCACTTTGTTTCAGCTGTGGTTGTTTTAAAGTGCTTTATAAATAAAGTTGGTATGGTATGATTTATAGACATGTAGTACATGAGATCTGAAAACCTTTCAGTGCTCCCACATTGTCAGTGTAATCTCACTGTTTGTTATCTTTCTGGTGTGAAAGAGCCTTTAGATTACATCCATAATTTGAGGTTATGAATCTGACAGTAAAGTGGAAATAAAATGTAGCATACATGTGTTTTAATCTATCATACGCTAGATGTTGGAACTTCTGCTTCCAACTTTGACTAGTTGAGTAATTAAAGACACAGTTTTAGTTTTTAAACCCTGCATTCATTTCTGCAGAGGACATATATATACTGCTGTGCTCTGGAGCATAAGTCATTGTATTATTTATGAGAAAATGTCCTAGCCAAAAGTAGAATTGGGCAAGAGAAATATGCTCGGATAAATAAGTTGCCTTCCCTTTTCTCTGCAGAAAGTACCCGGTTGTTTCTTTGGCATTGAAATCGTCTCTTTAATATGTATAATATGTTCCCTAAAACTGTTTAACAGCCTGTCCACATTAGACATTATATCAGTTCAACTTAAATGTTAAATGTATCTTAAATGTTGCTGATGCAAAGAAACTAATTTAGACATGCATATTTTCTATATTTGTGCTTCCACATTGCTATGTTTGGCAGCTGCTGAAACAAATATTTCTTAAATCATCAACTGACATAAAGTGTCAGAAAAAAACACTCTTCTTTCTTACGTCATTAGCTCGTCTGGATACATGCGCCCATATTCATCTGTTAGGAGCTTTGCTATTTTAGTTTTGTAAATACCTTGCTGCTCTCCTACTGATCGTTAATACCGCTTGACTCATTGCTAAAGGAACTTATCATGGTGGCTGTTAATATCAGTTGCTAAAGCAGAACCTCAGCAAGAGTAAAGAAAGCCCTTCTAGATGCTTCCTTACTGTAGCCGTACTGTAACTAGAGAAATACTGTTGTTGTCTTTATTTACAGTATAGCTGTAAAGTTTTTGTTGAGGTAAATTGCTACATCAGTCACAAGTTATAACTTATTCCATATTTTAAGCTAATACAATATTTTTTCACTTATACTGTAGCTGCCAGTTTCAACCTGTGTTTTGTTTCATTAGCTTCAGCAGAAAACATCTTATTTTAGTCTTAGTTTATACAAGTCAAAACTGGGATGACTGAAAAAGCCCACGAAAGTCACTGTCTTAGCTGACTGGCAAAAAGGTGTTGAAAGAATCATTTTGAACTATAAAAATAGAACGCACAGTATTGTGTATAGACACCATTTATACGAATGTAACACTTACTGGAACTCTATCAAGACATTTTAGAAAATCACCAGCCATGCATTGATAAAGTGACAGACAAGACCACAAAAATAAAAACCTATCTGGCCGCCATAAATGTGTATATCTGAACATTTACACATACACTTTTCACATTTTCTGCTAACAACCTACACTTGTGCACGTTGCAGAGCAAAGAGGTGGGAATCCAGATGCAGGACGAGCTGCTAAAGGTCACCACCGAACTGCAGACGGTACGTAACACCAGTTATTAGATGGCGTGTACAGGCGGAGTTAAACATCTGGCACGTTAAAAGGACAATACTTTTGATTTTGCTCACGACACGTTTTGCTGTTCTGCATTTCAATGAAGGCTCTAAAGACGTACAACCAGTACCACACAGACTGCCTGATAGCTGAGGGAAAACTGAAGGAAGCCGAGCGTCTGGAAGAAAGGCACACTGGGAAGTCGGCCGAGCTCGGCCCCGGCCAACTGGCAGGGCAGAGGCGGAGCTCCGTCAAGAAGATGGAGCGGTTGATGGAGAAGGTGAATGTGAACGTCTGTCGAATCAAAAACTGAACAAAACCACAGGAAGTCTTGAAGTGAGGTTTCTGCAGCGGAAGCCACTTCCTTTTCCTCTTTGAGCTAAATGAGTTCAGGTGTTTTCAACATCTGCAAATGGAAATTTCTGTTGAATTTTAAAAGCGAGTACCTGAGTACCTTTTTTAAATGTGATTTTTCATGTATTTGTGTGAACAGAGACATGGAAAAATGCAGGAGACCCAGCTGAAGTGTACAAAGGCACGGAATGACTACCTGTTGAATCTCGCTGCAGCTAATGCAGCCATGAACAAATACTACCTGCAGGATGTCAGCACTCTCATTGATGTAAGAAACATTTCTGGGGATTTCTAAAACTACTCAGATGTTTGTTTGCTTTTAAGTGCAGTTATGTTCTTCTTACAATGAAGGGTTAGGTTTGTGGTCATTTATGTTGATTTTTTGTTAATCATAAGCTCTATCAATTTAGTTTTTGGAATAGATTTTGGTTTTTGGATCTTAGAAAGCAGAAACAGTTCATACATACCAAAAATTTCTCAAAATCCTTTCACAAGATCTGCATCATTTTCTCTTGGTTCTCCTGGCAGTGCTGTGACCTTGGATTCCATCTGTCCGTGGAGAGAGTGATGAAGTGCTACCTGGCCAGCAGGTGGCGCATTCAGAAGACAGAGGAAACGGGGCTGAAGCAGCTGGAAACTGCTGTGACATCCCTGGACCAGAGTGGAGACAGGGATGCGTTGCTACAGCAACATGATGCCGCCTTCTGCCTTCCGTTCAGATTCAACTATCACCCACACGAGGGTGACCAGGTACTGTCACTCTTTGTTGCTATGGCGTCCAGCGCCAAGATGAAACATCCTGGATGTCCAACATGAGCTGAAAGGATTTCATCCCGCTTGATGGTTTTCACTTTTAGTTGCATTTGAGCCACAAGCTTCGGTGTTAAAGCATAGTTGTGAAATGGAAGTAAAACAATCTATGAGTTTCAGCATTTTTACAGTTGAAAATCTTAAAAGTGTGGTGTGCTTTTGAATTCAACTGACTCAAAACTTCTAAGAAGTCTTTTATGGGTGCGTCTCTAGAACTTTGCACATCATCAGACTGCAGATTTTGCTGCGTTCTTTCCAACATAGCTCCAGTTGTGATAGAGTCAATTTTCAAGTCTAATTCACAATTAGATTTAGGTCTGGAATTTGATTGGACCCTTTGAATACATAACAATGCTTTGATCTAAACCAGGGGTGTCCAAACCTTTGTTACATGTCCAAAATAATCAGCTTGAAGGTACTTGCAGATCTAAAAAAAGTATTTTTAAAAACTAAAATTGCAAATGGGATTTCTTTTTTCTTTTTAGCCACTCAGCAATAAGTTAAGCATAAACTATCCAGTGGGGAGGCGATGAATACAAATACATAGTTTTCAGTTTACGCTTCACAGTAATGTGACACGTTAACTTTATTACATAAAGCAGTTTAAAAATATGACTGCTCAATGGTCCTACAGTCCTAAAGTTGATTTTTAACTGTCAAGTTTATGTTTGCTAAGGTTGTTCTTTCCTGTTTTGCCCTGTAAACAGAGCACCTCTCGCCCAATGATGGCTGGAAAAAGATCTAAAAAATTTCTCTAACCAAACCAAACACATCTTATTTTTTGGGTCGCATTATATTTTTGTAACATTTTAGGTGTGCGAGGTGAGTGCGGAGAGCCAGGTGAGGTATGAGCTCGAAACCAGATTCCAACAGCTTCAGTCTCGACTCGCTGCCGTAACCTTGGAAACAGAGGAGGTCAGTTAACACTGTGTTTTTTGCGTTATGAACAGCATGACTGCAGAAAATTTGTGTTTTTTAGTCAAGAATTGCTGCTGGAAACATGGAAAACACAACGCGATCGCTCCTTCTGTCTTTTCAGATCAGTAAAACGCTTAAAGCCACACTTGCTGCCCTGCTGGACTCCATGTGTGACAGCGAGTGCAACCCCTCCCCCGACGTGTCCGCCAGCCTATCACATGAGCCGCCTACCACAGTAGTCACAACCACGGCGAAACTCTCCCTCGCCAAGCGTCGAGCCAATCAGCAGGAGACGGAGACTTACTACTTAACAGTGAGTTGGACACAGTTCACTAATAAAGAATATTGAAGCATTTTCCCAATGGGAAAATCCTTTTTTGAGTGACCTAGTTGTTGATATCTCTGTTTTCTTTTTTTTAATTATTATCATTCATTTAGAAAGTAAAAGAATTCCTCAACAGCAGCTCTCTGGCCTCCAAACTTCAAGCCAAACACGATCTTCTACAAGATGCCATACAGAAAGGTGCTCTTCATATATTTATACAGCGTATTAGAAGCAGCTTAAACCCAACATTGCTAATAATCGACATGGAAAATTGTATAAACTCATTACCAAGAATCTGCCTGCTTTCATGAGGCCCTTCAGGCTAACAGAACACGATGGGCGGAAATGAAGAAATAGCCGAACGCTAATGGTTTTCACACAGTTCTGTGGAAAATTCATGTGAAACAAAAGATCATGACTAATCTTTCCTCTCATGGAGTTTCATCCTGTTTTAAAGTTATTTTTACCGTGCCAGTGCATGACTAAGCTGCACTCTCTCTTGGAAACGGCTTGATATTGATAAAAAATTTGAGTTCACCACTGCTTATTGAATTATTTGTAGAATATATATACATATATATCGATATATCACAGATTTTTTTTTTTTTTTCATTTTAGGTTGCCATCAAATTCCAACATTTTCCATAAAATCTGATTATTATAGAGTTATTTTAGAAAGAGGAGGCCATAAATGTTTATGTTTCTTCAAACAGAAACATTTATAACTGTAATTGCATCAAATAGTGAGCATTGATTCAATAGGAACTGGACATACTTTTGGTTATATTTCACAATATTTATGTCTAGAAATAACATCACATGTAACATTCCTTCCACTTTATTTTTGCTTCTCACGCAGATTGAACCTTTTTCCATAAAGTTTCACTCATATTGTTGAACTTTGTGGTCATTAATGTGACAAAGTGTAAAAAAAAATTGGCATTAAGAGTGAGATTGTAATTGTTGAGACACTTTACTAGCATTCCCATTGTATTGTTTCACTGCTACACTTGTTAGTCTTCCCTTTTTCACACTTCTTCTGTATCTTCCTTCCAGCGGAAGCCGTGGACAGCGACCCCTCCAGGTAAATAGGCTCCATGCACATGTTCAAAAACAAGAACAAGTGTGCCTGAGAGAGGACAGTGAGAAGTCGAGGGGAGGGGCAGAGGAAAAACATGGAGGAAATTTAGACCAATCGATCATCATTATGTTAAAAAAAACATGGCATTACCATGCATAAGTATTTATTTATACTCAATTTTTTCATTATACTTTACTTCCAATTATTATAAATGTCGGAAAGACTTTCAGAAACACTAGAAAAACTGGGGATGCATGCTGCATTTCTAAAGATTTCAAGAAAGTTAACTGGAAGGACGAAGTAAATAAATGAGTGGTGTTTTAAAAACCTTTGCACAGATCTGTCAGACATCATCATGATTACCAGCATTTCATTTGTTATATTTCCCAGAATGCAATGTACTACTCGGTCAGTCCGGGTTCGGAAGTCCAGGCCAGTTTCCCAATTCTGCCACACACTCTTCACCACAGACATACTCTCCTACATAGAGGTAACACACTCTGACAGCACACACACACACACACACACACACACACTTTACTGCCCCCCTCCTTCCATCCCCCTTTTTTTCAGTTTGCTGCTCTGCTGCTCAGCCCTCCAAAATAAAATCACAGAGAAAATCCCAGTGCTGAAGAACTGAAGGTGGAAATGCACGCTGCAGTCATGTGTGCCATCATGCTTACAGCTTATTGCTGCCTTTCTCTCCTTTCAATCCAAACTCCTCTTATCTCACCCCACATCCCCCCCGCCGCCCCTTCGCTTATGAAAAGGATTTGAAATGCTGCCCTCTTTGCTTCCTCCTCTCGACTACTCTATCAAGCGTGTGCGTGTTTGTGTGTGTGTGTCTCTTCCCACTTCCTTTAAATCTTTACTTTCCGTATTCTCGTTTTCTCTCTCTGTCTCTTTTCTAATCTCTGCCTTTTTTTTCTGTGTCCTTGCTTTGCTGTTGGCATGGCGCAGAAGAAGAAGGAGAATGTCTCGGACCCAGGTACACAGCCACAGCCGTGTCCGGCGTGTCGCTTCTGTTCGCCCATTTTTGGAGTTCAAATCCTACGGGGAAAGTTTTAAGCCGAAATCGACGGCGGTGTAGAAAGAACTCCTTATGACTAGAAAGTTTTGAACTGTGACTGAATATTAGGGCCAGGCTAAGAGATTGTCTTTTTTTTTTATAAAAACATCATATGACGCTAACGTCATAATATTAGTAGGATAAAGGCATATTATTACCAGAAGATTATTAGTGTTGCTTCGATTTCTTCCTGCATATTTAGGAAATGCTTTCATCTCCATGGCAACCATTGAACTGTGCAACACGCCCACTTGGACCTAGCACTGCCTTCAAGACACAGCTCCTCTTCTGAGCTACAGTTCACAAGCTAACAAGCTTCACAGACTCCCCCACTCAGCTCCTTCAGACTAGCCAGCATCAATTAGTTCTTGCTGGAACCGGGCATCCACTGAGCTCATGATACAAGCTACCTCCCAATGCAGCACTGGTGAAAATGTTAATAGAGGAGTCTTGTTGTGATGACTTTCCGAAGGCGGAGATTCAGAAAGAGCAGGAGTTTTTAAAGACACAGTGGCCCAATTTCTCAAGCCATTAAATCAGAAAGTAAAATTTCTCTTCAGTCATATTTTATCTATATAGCATTTCATTTTTTATCAACTGGAGTTAACATAGTTATTACTTGAAAGGCACTATACACCCCTTTAAGCCAGTATCAATAATTCTATGTATTTTTAGGGTGTCAACAGTCTCTGAAACTGTTGCTTTGGGGGCTACAGGCTGAAAAATACTATTAGATAATAGTAGCATTATATTAGCCTTCTGCTTCAACTTTCTCCTGTTTCTTTGCTGTTTTTGCTTCATTTTTCTTACACATTTTAACATTTCCTTCTCCTCTATGTTTGACTGTATCTTCACTCTCCATTTGCATGCCTGTCTTGTCTCTGCAGAGCTCTGGGCAGCAGATTCCTGTGGTGGTTGAGAGCTGCATTCGTTTCATAAACCTTCATGGTGAGTCAGTTTATCTGCTATAGCAAGCAGACAGAGAGAGAGAAAGAGCTTTGGATGATGGGGGTCATGAGTAGGTGGAACTGCTCTTAGCTTGGGTACATGTCTGTCCAGACCTTTAGCTTCTATGGGGAAGATGGACTTTGATGTCAGGGCGTGTGTTGCAGGCCTCCACCATGAAGGAATTTTCAGAGTTCCTGGTTCCCAGAGGGAGGTGAACCTCATCAGAGATGCATTTGAGAGAGGTAAGTGATCCATCCAGTCCACTACAGGAGAACAAAGAGACACACAGTAAACAACTGTGCACACACTTATACCGAAGGGCAATTTAGAGAGACCGGTTACACTAACGATCATGCTTTTGGACCATGGAAGAAAGTCAGGGAACCCTGAGAGAACCTACGGATGCACAGGCAGAACATGTAAACTCCACCCAGAAAGACCCCATGTTGGGATTTCTTTTTGCATTTACATTTAAAGTATTTATACACATTGAACTTTTTCACTTTTGGTCAAAAAGCAACCACAAATAGGTATTTTATTGAGATTTAGCATGTTAGACCAAACATAAAGAACCTTTTACATTCATTCCCTGAATTGTAGATTAAGGGAGCATTCACTAAAGTTTGGTTCTATGGGGAAGATGTGAAATGTGTACTTGGATTGTGATGCAGACCAACAAAACAAACTGGTTTGGTCAGCCTAGAGACCTCGGTTTGGTCTGGGTTGAAGGGAATGCTGATGAGCTGGTGGTCGAATGCATAAGAGGATGCAAGCGGACCAGAGTGGGCAGCCAAAAGTAGGAAGCGGACTATAGTGCAGAGCATTCTGGGTAAATACAACCAAAACAGATCGGTCTAGTCTAGCGTTGGCAGGAGAATTGGCTTGTGATCTTTTGCCAGAGAAAAAGAAACTACCGCTACAATCTGACGTCACTCCATTTTTATTTACATTTTATAAAGAAGGAAGTTGTGCGTAGTGCCTTTATCAGAAGTTTTTGTGTGGTTTGCTACAGCAGGTTTTGGTGCAGCGCCACCACAGACATGGAGGAGAACAAGTTTTTCAAAGACTTTGGTTTGTTTAACACAATGCAGTGTGAAAGAGAACCACACAAGCTGAAAATGTATGTAACAAATGTTGCAACTTTGGTTCCCTAATCAAACTGAGTCTACTGGACTGTCAGGTGTGAAAACACTCTTAGACTGACTTTTTGTGCCTGTTCTTCTTTGCTTAATAACTCCAGCCCATCAAGAGTGGATGGAGAATGTCTCTGAAAAGCAATTTATAAGTCCTGCCACTAAATTAACCCCCATATATTTGGCTCTGGACTTTGAATAATTCTAACACATGAATCTACTTTTACCTAAACTACCGCATAGTAGCTGTGGCTGTATGTTTATTGTTGTTGCCCTTAAAATGTAACCACGTACTATTTTTGCTCCTCTATTATGTTCTACTTTGCAAAAAATCCCAATTGAAAAATTTCAATTTATTGTTGCAAAGTGAAAAGATGTAGAAAAGCAGAAGGGTGATAAATTATTTTACCAACGGCCGATATTATTTTTAGGCCGAGTCCACACATAGCCGGATATCTAGGAAAATGAATACATTTTTATATGGGTTGGTCTTTCATAAACACAGAAAATCTGTTTCATATCCGTAAAAACATTTATTTACATAAAAAAACCCCTCAGACTTGAGTTTAGATTTGAGAAAAATCCATATTTGTGTTGCCGTGTGCACATGAGAGATTTAGGGTCTCTGAATACAGTCTGTGACAAATAATATGCCAATTTATCAATAGCAATCTTTTTTTCCCATGCACTTCTTTTAATTTCCTGCAGGGGAGGATCCTTTGTCAGACAGTGAGTGTGATCTGGACTCTGTGGCCGGCGTGCTGAAGCTGTACTTCAGGGGGCTTGAGCCTCCTCTGTTCCCCTACGAAAGCTACTCTCCGCTGCTGGAATGTGTCCGTAAGATGCCTTCATGTAACCTCTGTGTCTTTGTTTTGGTGGAAACCTGTTTTAAAACCATGCAACAGCTGTATCTGCTTTCAAAGCCCATACAGTCGGGAGACAAAAACTTTGTCCTTGAGCTGAATATTACTTAGATTTTGTTTAAGTGACCATCTCACATAGATAGTCATTGATTTAAGTCACATTTTCTGGGGTTTCTGGCTCTCAGTGAAGCTGTAACTTAATAACACATAATCGTTTCTCAACAAGTTTCTCATCTGATTCCTCCCCATGTTGGTCAGAAATCGAAGATGAGACTGAGAAAGCTGTCCAGATCAGAGCCATTGTTTCTACTTTCCCACGGCCTCTCCTCATCGTGATGCGATACCTTTTCGCTTTCCTCAACCAGTAAGCTGAAACCGAGTGATTGATGTCCTCCTCTTACTGATATCCACCGACGTTTTGAAACTTCTGGTCACTGTGCTCGGGTTTGTTTGTTTTTTTTTTCAATTTTTTGTTGGTCACAGCGTGTCTCAGTACAGCGACGAGAACATGATGCAGCCCTACAACTTGGCTGTTTGCTTCGGTCCGAGCCTGCTGAGGGGGATGGAATCTGACGACGCCGTTGCTAGGCAACCACAGATCAATGATCTTGTTAAAACCATGATCCTTCAGCATGACAGCATCTTCCCCGGCCAATCGGAACTGCCAGGTCCGGTCTACGAGAAGCACATGACACTGGAGCAGGAGTACTGGTGAGACCTGAGTGACAATATGAATACAAACCTTCAAAGGGTCGTCGCTCTGCATTTTAAAACAGGAAAAAATACCCAATATTTTGTTTGCTTTTACAAGAAGACTACATTTCACCCATCATTAACTGTTTTAAAGGATGTTTAGTTAGTTCATATAATATATTGTGCTTTTTATTACTGTATAATTTCTACGTAGTATAAAATAATCCAGTTAAGGCTTGATTGATTTAAGTTTTTTTAAAAAAATGAACTCTTTTGTTTTATGGGGTAAATGGACTGACCTCTGTAAGTGAAAGATTAGCAAAAACATTTACGTATAAATGATCTCTTTGCATATTATTTGTTTTGTGTTTATAAAACACAAACTGTTTTATAATGGCTACATTTTCAAAACATCTGCTCTCATTTACATTTTTTAATCCTTTCACCAACAGAAAAGACTAAATGTGGTCCATGTAAATAATATCCAGTGATTGATATCTGCCTCCCCAATTACAGTTTTGTTATGTTATTTTAAAGTTAGAGACGGTGGGTAGAACAGTTCCAAATGTATAAAGCAGCTTTCCTTTCTGTCCCTTTTTCATAATTCATCATCTCAAAACAGGATTTCACAGTGAAGCTAAAAGACACACTGGTGGTGCTCACATGCTTTGTGTAAATACAAATAAGCTTGTTACTCACTTAAATGAACACAAGCCTACAGCCTCTCAACTATTTGTGTTGTGTCAAAATGGAGAAATCACTAAATCATTCTGTCTAATTCTAAGTCTTGCGTGTGATGTAAGCACATTGTCACAACTTAGGACTGTGGTGCTGCAGTTCTGGTTTGCGTCTCAACCACTAGAGGAATTGTGTGACCACCTACTTTCTGTTTTTCTGCTTGTGTGCAGTGAGCCAATCACAGAGGAGGGAGACGGAGAGACCGAGCATCTGCCTAGTGAGGACGGTCAGTGCACATACTGACAGCACGCCAGGCATCAAAAAAAGCTCCCGCATAAATGCAACACAAATGATTATCTCAATCAAATTTGTTGTGATTTCTTTTGTCTTGTAGAGTGGGAGGCAGTAGCTTTGTTCGACTACACGGCCAGATCTCCAGCAGAGCTTTCCTTCAAGCAGGGAGATCCTATTATCCTTTACAGCAAGGCCTCGTGTGATTGGTGGAGAGGCGAAGTTGGAGGAGTTAAGGGTCTAGTCCCACACAAGTACATCAGCATTCTTGAAGTGTAAGTGATCTTTATGTGTCAGCAATTCTAGCTGGCATTGCAAAGATAATATTTGATAAAAGAGATTGTGTTTCCGCGCAACATTTAATGCAAACCAAATGAAAAGCTGGTTGCCTACATGTGCCAGGGCAGCTTTAGTGGAGAGATATTGGAGATGGCATCCTAAATGCTTGATTGGGTTGCATTTGGTATAAAAGTAGGCAGGTTACTAAAATACAAAGGAGTGTTTGTATGACGTTCAAGCTGGTGTGTGTGTGTGTGTGTGTGTGTGTGTGTGTGTGTGTGTGTGTGTGTGTGTGTGTGTGTGTGTGTGTGTGTGTGTGTGTGTGTGTGTGTGTGTGTGTGTGCGCGTGTGTGTGTGTGTGTGTGTGTGTGTGTGTGTGTGTGTGTGTGCAGGTTTAGATTGTCTGTAGAATCACGTTGTTCTTGTTCCCCCAGTATATTTACGAGGTCAGTTTTTATCCCACATTCAAACTTTTGTTGTTTCATCTTCTTCTCCTAAAACATGAAACAATATGCTTTATATATAACTCCCTCTGCTTCTCCTCCTCTAGGTCAGAGCGAGGGAAAAGAGAAGAAGGTAGAGTAGGCGGAGGCAGCACTGGAAATCTATCAGCAGAAGATCCACATACGGAAAACACAACAAGGTATACATGCAAATACAAAATACTCATGCTCAAGCACACACTCACTCAAACACTCCTATGAATGCTATTACAGACATCTCAACAGTTGTAATGTGAGTAGATTTGTCAAACCAAGGAATCTGAGGTGAACCAAACTCTTACACAGACAAAAAAATGAGCAAAATGAAGAACACCTTCAGTAGTAATACAAGTCTTCAAGCCTACAAACGCTAACAGACACTTACCGTTTCGGCGTGTCTCAACAGGATGCGAGTAAACAGCGATAGTGCTTCGTTGCCAGGGAGACAGAGAGGAAGTGAGGGGAGCCCAAGTCGAAAACCACAAGCTTCCCCTGCCACAAGACAACAAATACCTGTGTAAGGCTGCATACCTCAGGCACACACCAAACTCTGTGTGTGCTTAGCATGGTTCAAATATTTGCAGAAGGATGAGACTGAGACAGATTCAAGTGAATTCAGAGAGGAAAACAACAGAAAGTCAAGAGACATTTAGTCAATCTGGCCGGATTCAGCCACATCTGCGCAAAGCAACAGAGAGTGCCAGGATTACATAACAGCCTGAATTTAAGTGGATGGGACAAAGCAGAGCATCAATCTAACAACGGCTGGCGCAGGACGTAAGAAAAGGTGGAGCGAATTTCTGTCCAGCTGTGACCTGAAATACCACAAAGATTACTGGATGAAAAGGCAGAGGGCAGGAAATTGGATTAAGTGTAGACTGTGTTGTAATTTCTAGTTTCACCACATGGTGGGAGAGATGTCTCCCCTTCATGACGCCAGACAAAACGATCATTTAGAATTACATGAATTGGAGGATTTGGGATTCTAATACAATACAACTGTAAGCCCCCAAAAAACAGATTTTTTTGTACCTCAACATTAAACTATATAATCAATATTCTAATTAAGCAAATCAATTTGAGAGATTTTTCTTTTGTCAGACAGTTAAATGTTTGTTCATGTATGTGTTGTTCATTGCGTATGCAATGAATGGCCTCCTGTTTAATGCATTATGCCAACATGTTAGTTAGTGGAAGCTAATGCAAAAGTGGTAAAATGCTAAATTCAGCCAGGTCGATAACCACCATGTCCATTTGTCACAAAGAGAATGTAAGGAGGCTCTAAACAATTCATATTTTTACATACATTTGTTTAATTAATACCTCCTGGTTGCACACTTTTCATTTGCTCAATAAAGTTTATTTAAAGGGGGAAACATCTTCATCCACTTGAAAATAAGAGCATGAATACAAACGCCAAACTTTTTGAAGAATTATTCACCTTCATCAACCTCAACTTTGACACAAATGTTAAATTGTATTCAACTGAAAGTTTCCAAGTAAAGTAATGCTTTAGAATTTATGTGGGAAACTTAATTTAGAGGAAGCCAACAGTGCTAAATGCTTTCAGAGTTAGCAAATGTACTAATGCACTTAACAAAAAAAAGAGCTCCTCTGTTAGTGCATTAGCTCTTAGCTGCTGCTCCTCTCAAAGAACAAACAGACGAGAAGCTCTGCGGTGTGTGATGATTTGGGTTATTTTTCTCCTCTCTTACAGGTCTCAGGAACGGAGACACACTTTGGACACTGTAAGGCAGCCCAGCTGCAGAATCCCAGACAAGCCTCCATTCGTTACAGCAGAAAGACCAACAGTTGACAAGGTAATGGTCCTACTAAGCCGGATCTTTTTCTGCAATTCTGCGAAGCTCTTCAGAAGCACACAGGTTAGGTTGGGTAACCAAGTTTCTATGAAGAAAGTATATGCCTTTGATTCTGGTCAGCTGACAGTAAAGGAGCCGACCATCATGTAAAATTGACTATTTTGAGCTTTATATCATGTTACAATGTTATTCAGAATCATACCTGGAGTGAAATCTTGATTCTTTCATGCATATGTAAGAAATTTTCTAATCTCCAATGGCAACCATTCAGCTGTGCAAAACACCTGCGTGAAACTGTGACTCTACTGAGCTCATTCCACAAGCTACTGGTAAAAACTATGTTAAAGGGTTAATAGAGGAGCCATGTTGTGATGACTTGATGAAGGCAGAGCTTCAGAAAGAGCAGGAGTTTCTTAAAGAGACATCAGCCCAATTTCAAGGTGTTAAATTACAGAGTCAAATTTCTTTTATATCATATTCGATATATGTAAATATACAATTTTATAACAAGTGAAGGAAACACAGTTACTTGATTGTACTATAGAATGGCACTATGTGCCTGGAAAATATATAATATTGCTAATTTAAGGGTTAAAACACAACAAATCTGTTTAAGTACTTATGGTCAAGTTTCTAGTGCAAATATCTTAGTAAACTTGAAATGAAACTAAACTTAGAATTAGGTTTTCATCAAGAGATAGGGGCTAGTTTGAAGTCAATAATTCCTTAATATTGATGACAATGTTCTAGTTCCATCGGCGGATTATTTCACTCAACGTGGGAAAAATGTCTTGAAATAAAATGCACAACAAGTACTGTTTTTATCAATATTAAGAAATTATTGACTTAAAACAAGCTCCTATATCTTGCTGAAGAGTCACTTGTAAGTTAGTTTTGTTTTACTTCAAGAGTACTAAGACATTTGCACTGGAAACTAGACCAACAATACTTGGTAAGATTTTGTGTTTTTGCAGTTCTCATTATTAAAGGGAAAAAGAAGCATCAACATCCTGCCTGCTGCATAAAATGAACATATTCTAGAAATGCTTTTAAACATGAACATTAAAAAGGCTACATGTAACATTTCTTTTGTGTTTTTATTTTTTTTCTCACAAAATGTCCACCATAGAAAGACATTTTTTTATTGTATATTCCAAAACAAATTTTTGTGTTGTTACAGGGCTGCAAATTGCATGTTCTTTCTTAATCATTAATTAATTGGGGGTGCATCATAGTAGAAAATATTGTTAAAGACATTATATTGTCTGCTTCCCCCTCTTGTTGTCACACAGGACATGATTAGCCGGCAGATGAACTCTGTGTTTAAGGAGCTCCTGTCCCGTCAGCCTCCTGTGCAGTCGTCTCCCTTCCCTCCTTCTGTCTCCGCCACTCCTTCCTCCTCGTCTTCCTCGATTGCTCCAGCCGCCCCCTCGGCTAAGAAAGTATTTGGCCTGAGAAGGGCAGGCCCTTTTCAGTCCGGACTGAGATGAAAGCATGAAGAGCTGTGGAGTTATAGGTTCATTGTTTGAAAGTGAAGATCTTGAGTTTTTTTCCCCTTTTTTCTGTTTTATGGACAACAATAATTGCGTGTGCCATCTCATAGTGCCACTAGTCTTGGTGCCGTGTAGGTGTATGTCCAGTGCGTCTGTTTTTTCAACTGGTTTTTGTTTAGCTTTGTTTTGCTCTCCTGACTTTTGCACTTTTTTTATTTATTTTTTTTTTTTTTGAGAATCAGGGATGTGGATTCACCAGAGATATCACCAGAAAAACTGCTTGGTACGGTACTGAGTGTACATAAACAACAAGAAAATACTTAAGCTGCCCCCTAGTGGCAGGTCTGAGATCAGCACCCCCTAATCATTTGCTCTTGAAAACTGATCTGGGGCCTGTGCCTAGGAGTGCCTTTGCGTCTTTTTTGACGTTTTTCACTTGAAAACACCAGATAAGACTTTGTTTATGAAATTAAAATGTGTACCGGTATGATGTCAGCCCAAAAGTGTTCCGAATGATTTTAAAAAAAAACTAAACTAAAAAACAGAAGTCATTTGAACCTTTGCCACCAACTTCATCACTTTTTCATAGTACATCAGTGATTACCTTTTAAAATCAATTGAAAACTATCTTTAGTTTAGTAGTTGGGCTCATGCTACTTTTGCGTAACTTCGGTTTTAAATGGTGCCTTCAAATGGAGCCATGCCTGTGGTATTCTCAAGTTATTTTATTTCTACGCATTATTTTTCTAAAATATGTTAAGGAACGAAGTCATGCAGAATTTAGTGAAACTGTTTCAAGAAAAAAGTAAAGTTTTGCTTCAAGAAATAGAACACATCGAAGTGTGGACAGACATAAACGTCAACCAGACCTGAGCAGTTCTTCCATTGAGAAAAAGGTATTCCTATAAACCTTTTTTTTCTGAAATGTTGGGTTTATACTTTTAATCATTTTGTTGCTAGACAAGAGAACGGGTTGAAGCATGTACTAGCTAATAAGGGTGTGATATTAAAAATTAGAATTGTTCTTGTTGCTACTGAAAAAACCTACAAAATAAATTTAATGTAAGGAAATTTTTCACCTGAACACCTTTTGCCAAGTTTATGTGATTTTCTGCTCCTTGTATAGTAAAATGTTAGGCAGCTCAATTTCTGGAGTCAAATTTGCATGCTTTAATTGTGAACTCACTAGATGCATATTAAGGCAAGTTAAGATGGTTTCCCACTTTGCCTAACTCAATCAGTTAGCTCCAGTACATGATGCTAAAAAAACAAAACATCAAATAAACCCAATGGATTTGCCATTAAATACAGGACACATTATTCTTTCAATCTCTTAACAAGCAGCTACTGTTGAACAAGCTAGGCTAGTATAGTTAATGGTAAAACAAGTGTAGAATCAACAAAATAACTAGCATATTTGGCTTTAGAATCATAAACATTATTGTATTCTTTAGAGCAATTTTATCATCAGCCAATGAAAAAGCAGCTAGCTGGAAACAGTTACCTTTTTGTTAGCATAGCATCTTTACATTTTTGCTGTGCAGTTCCCTTGCATCACATTCAAATCATTTTTAGAATCTGAACTGTTTTTTGGATTTTTTTGCAACATTACTCAATGGTGTATGCAAATAAAAGGGTATTATTTTATTCCCGTTGCTAATAGCAAAAACATTATTTTATTTTTTTTTGGCTATTGGGTTTGCTAAATTAGGAAGCTAATGCTGGGGGCTGACCACACCACTGTCACACACATCAGCTACATAGTGCATCACAAATTATTTTAGGTATTTTATTCAAATGAATGCTGATAGCGTTGTTCTTTAAGGTTCCATTTTACAACGAGAAAAACAGTATCATTTTTACATACGGTGGAACATACAGACTGAAAACACATTCCCCTCTATATGTGATGAAAGGCATAAATATGAGGCCAAAACTCAGGGCTTTTGCAAGATGAGCTAACTCAGGTTTAGCTTTGATAGAATAAGTATGAGTTTCTCTCTCAGGTCTTTGGTTGACTTATGGTGACTTCCATTTGAACTTCAAAAGTCGGATTTACTCCGTTACCGAAATTTTACCTGGAACGCCCTCTGTTTTGGTTGGGATTCTGATGGGAATTTATTGAAATCTAACAGCTCTCAAATACAATGTCCGGGAAGGGAGCTCTGTGCATGAAAATGAGGGAACACTGACTTATTTACTAGGGTCATCTATGTTCATAAACAACTTTGACCATTGACTAGTTTTTCCTTGCAGTCCTTGCATTTCCTGAAATGTTTACTTTACATGGCTTGCAAACGCCATTGATTTTTCAGGCTTGTTTGGCTTACAGTGGAGTCAAGTCAGATGTTTTGCCTTTATCTGCCATCTCTTCCACCCTTCAAGTCAAATGGAATGCACTGTTACCCTTCAACTTGAAACTGTGCCCCTTGCCTGAAGAGCCAAAATGGTCCCTTTATCAGAGGAGTCAGTGACTTGCTCTGGTTTAAACTGTGAAACCAATATTGGCTTCTTGGAGCCATAATAGAAACTTGTTTTTTTCTTTTATCTGCCACTCGTTTCTGCCCTGTTGGCATTTAAAACAGTCTAATGCACTGGTCCAATTCTAACGAACTTCTGAATTTGATTTTAAAAATATATATAATTGAATCATTTTTACATGTGTAATTTCTTCACTGTCCTTTTACACTCATGTAAAAATAGAAGTAGAGTCTTTGTTTTGAAATGATTCTTCTTCTGTGGTTGAAACATCTTGATATTTTGGATCACTGTTTGATGATGTTATTAAGTTTAGTGTGTTCAACTGTATATGTGGGTAAGAATTATGAATACAATAAAGACGACAAAGAAATTGATTCAAGTTTTGGTGTGTTTATGCTGCATAGTGTTTTCTTAAGCAAGCACAGTATGTTTGAGCATGTGGATATAAATTACACAACAACTGAAAACCTATTAGGACATTAATTTTATCATGATTCTTTCATACTAAAATTGTATATTAAAATAAATTTTACACTCAAATGTTTTCATTTTTTATCTTAAAAAAATATAAAATACCACAATATTTGCTGTTTTTTTAACCAATTCTTTAAACAGAAAGGGAAGATGGTGTTCATTTCCACTTTGCTCATATCTAGAATCACAGCATGCTTTCGCTAATATTTCACTTTTGTGCTATGTTTCTACATTGTGTTCAAAACGAGACAGTAGGTTTGACATTGTTTCAATTTCTGTGTTAAGACCACTCCCCCACTGCAATGTGATCTTTTGGACCCATCCACTCCTCCTCCTAAAATAACTCCTTTCCCCTACAGCCAACCAAGACCCAGACACAAGAAATAAGTCGTACAGTACCACATTAGCACTTCTATCACTCTAAAGACCTAGTAGAGCACTGTTGATGTTGGTGTGCTTGGTGAATATGGCATATAATCTCTGAAGTGCTTGGTAATGAATCTGATGATCTTTGTAACGTTTTCGATTAACTTGCTGCAGTCTGTCCCTTCTCTCTGCAAAAAAAAAAAATCTCTTTACTGATACAGGACTAGGAAAGCGTTTTAAGTGAGGTAAGTAAGACATGGTTCAACCATATTAGAGATTTAGCAGATCTACTTTGATGTTTACTCAACAAGTCAAGAAATTGTATCACCTCATCTTGTATCCTGTTGTGTTTTTGTAAACATATATTTTAATTGTTGGTATGTTCAAGAAATCCCAGGTTTGACACTGATATTTAAAACTGCAATGAGATAGATATGTGATCTGAATTCTATGCAACTTTTCTAATGATATGAAGCGACTGCAGCATATGCAAGTCATCTAAAGAAATCCATCCTAAAATCAACAGCTGCTATTTACAGATTTTGGTGTGACATCTTTTTGGGGCACTAAAACAGGTGGTAGTACAGGGCTGAGCTGGCTGATATAGCCTAACATAACCACAGTCTGGTGGAGAAGTTTGTGTGTGTGTGTGTGTGTGTGGGGGGGGGGAGGGGGGGTGCGCGCGCGCGTGTGTGTGTGTGTGTGTGTGTGTGCATGTGTGTGTGTGTGTGCGTGTGCGCATGTGTGTGTGTGTGTCCAGTTCTGCTTAGACTCTCAACCCATCCAAGCACTAAACGGATGGTAAGAACAGATAAATATGTGATGTGTAATAACTTTCTCCTGCTGAACAGGAACAAAACTGAAGTTATTATCTCTGAACCTAAAGAGGAACAATCTTGAGTCAACACTCAGCTTCTGTTATTTCAGATGGAAACTAGAGGTCATGCCCAAAATCTGGTGTAGTGATGGATTCTGACCTGAAATTTCAGAGCCACATAAAGACAGTTACAAAGTCGGCCTTCAATCACCTGAAAAACATTTCCAGGATTAGAGGACTAACAACGGAGCAAGATCTAGAGAAACTCATCCATACGTATAAATATAGTTGCACCGATTATTGCAACAGTATACATTAGGACTGCCTAAAAGATCAATCATCCAGAACGCTGCTGCTCACGTTCTCACTCAAACCAGGAAGCTAGAGCTCATCACCCAGTGGTAAAGTCCTTCCACTGACTCCATGCTCAGGAGAACAGACTTTAAAATACTATTTCTAGTTTATAAACCACAGAACGTCTTAGCACCACAATACAGCAGATCTGTTGTATCAAGCTTCCATACCTCTTAGGACTTCTGGTTCTGGTTCTGCTCTGCATCCCCAGAACCAGAACCAAACGAGGAGAAGCAGCATTCAGCTTCTATGCACCACAAATCTGGAACAAACTTCTGGAAAGCCTTTAAATCTAAACTAAAAACCCAGCTATTTAGAGCTGCTTCTGAAACATCATGAATTAAACATTAATCGACATTCTGGTGTATAACTATGGCACTTAACAAAATGTTTCAATTGTTGACTGTGTGTTCTAGAATTTTGTATTCTTGTGTTTTTATGATGAGAAACACTTTGAAATGCCTTGTTACTGAAAAGTGCTATCCAAATATACTTGATTGATTAATTGATTGATCAAGTACAATATCCCATGTCTTTGGCTTCTGTTGTTATAACAGAGAAATGTGGGTTTTTTTCTCTAGCAAAGATGATGATGGTGAGCGATGATTGTCTGGTGGAGTGTAAGATTGATGACAGTGATGAGGAACAGGTGAACACTCCTCCTCCTCCCCCAGAATTTGCATCGAAAGCTTCAACTCCAGCTCCAATAGACCCAACCCCTCCCGCAAATTCTCCGACTCCCGCTCCAACCCGACCTGTCAACAGAGACCCACATGGCATCAACCAACACCTTAAGGTCAATTGGTCAGTCGGTTGGCTCTTCCTTCCGACTCTCCTTTCCTTGACATAACAGTGGACCTGTTTTGTCATAAATTTCTCAATTCATTTGTCTCATGTGGAGCACCTCAAAGTTTGTCCTTGGTTCTACTTAAATTTGAATCACTAGCTGTGTTTCCATGACAAATGTGCACACATGTTCTGCTAATGTAAAAACAAACAACAACAAAAAAACAATTTTGTAATTGTGGCATTGTCATTAATTGAAATTAGATTTTAATAAGCTTGTCATTAAAAAGCATGGCAGTAACAGTAAACAGTTACATGAGATACATTGAAAGTTCAGCCCTGGCACAAGTGCTCATCATCCATCAGCCGTCAGAGGAGACATTGGTATGTTATTCTAATGCCTGAATACAACGCTGAATAAGACGTTTGAGCAACTGGACCCTTATACTCGGGAGAGGCCATCTATGTGCCGTTTTGGGGAAATTGTAGTTTGCTCATAACATAACACAACTCTTAATGGACTGTGCGATCCTGTGAGAGCTCTGGTGGAGCCAGCTGCACATTGTCAAAAAAAAAAAAGAAATCACTATCCTTCTAGTACTTCCTGTCGTCTTCTTCCTCGTTTTTGCCAGTGGTAACATCGAGTTGTTGATCACCTGACTCGTATAATGTGAAAAAAGTGTTTTGATATGGCTGAAAAGCCCTTTCATCCTACCGCCAAAAACTCTTTTGAAAAAAAAACTTTAGAGAAAAACTTGAGTTTTTTTTTCAAAGTTGGTGTGCTTCTGTTAACCATTTTTTGTCATTTAAATTTTTACAATGTTATGGTTAAGGGAGGCACAGCTACTGTCATGTTTTGGTTGAGTTGTCTCGAAAAACAGAGTGTTTCCTCAGTCTCAGAAACCAGGTTTTCTTTAGTACGTCATTGAGTTACTTTTACAGATTACAAATTTTCAGCAAGCATTCAATGAGAGGTGGCTAATTCCAGTTGTCAAGAAATGTCCTTCATGTTTTAGATCTTTCCCTTACCTATCCGACCTGACTCAAAAGAATGGCTCCGAAGCATACAAAAAAAAGGATATCATTAAGCAATTTAATTTCAAAATCAGTCCCGATTAAAATAATGAAAAAGAGAGTACATAAAAGACTGACAGATATATTTTTCTAACAGAATACATTTCTTGTTTGTCTTCTGTAGGTGGAGGTCAGAGATGTTCTGGCTGAACCTACCACTCCTCATAGCCTAGATGGTGTGTGGACCTACAGTCAGGTTGGTTTTGAGAGGACTCGCATCTGGACCTATCGCTGCCTCTCCTTGCTGTTCGCTGTGCCTCTTGCTTTCCTGTGCGGACTCTTCCTAGCCGTCCTTGCCTGCTTACGTGTCTGGTATGTTCTGACCAAATCAGTCATTCAGTGACACATTCAATTCCTCACTCTCTTCACATGCAAAATACAAGTGATAACTTGTAAAAATATAGATTTATTAATATGTTATTGCTTTGAAATTGCTTGCTGAAGCTAGAGTATCAGCTTGTTGCTCAAGAAACTTAAATGGCAACAATCTGATTCTATGCTGGTGTGGCTCACTTTTACATTGAACTGATGTTTTGTGAGGATTTAAAAATATTCAGATCTTACATATGTCTGTAAATCACGTGTACAGCAGATATATCCTTTCTTCTCCTTGATGTGATTAATACTCCATTTTCATTTTGCCACTGTGAGCATCTCCCACATTCTCAAGCAGACCAGTGTTCCGACTTCAGGTCCGTACCAGAATATCAACCTGACCTATCAAAGCAGACTATCCTAACAAAATGTCATCCATTTAGAGCAATTAAACCAATTGTTACCTATGATTTATTTTCTGATGTCTTTTTTCCTCTCTCCAGGTTCCTGGTTCCCTGCATACAGCTGAGCAACACCTTCCTGCCCTGCTTGCGCTCCTTGTTTATATGTGCTGTGAATGTCTTCATCTCCCCCTTCTGTATGTCTCTGGCACTCTGCTGCACTCAGATCTCCATCTCACTGTCCAACAAAGACTTGGATCGAAAGAAAGACAAAGACACTGTGTGAATGTAAAGAAAAAACAAGAAACAAAACACTGTGCGTCCTACATTAATCCGCCAGCTATATTTCCTCGCTAAACCAAGGAATCTTGACTGAAGAAGTGTGTGAATGGGAAGCAGAGTGCTTTTATTTAAATGCACATGATTTTTTTTTATTCTAAGTTTTAAAATTATTTTATTGAAATAAATTCTTTTCATAAGTCTTGTGAAAAAAATTGTTCTTAATGTATTGTCCTATTTTATTTATTATTTATTTTTTTAAATCATTGGTAAATATGTGATTATAGGCTTGTATAATTTATTGTATGATCCCTGGTGAATACTTAAGGAGAACCATCTTTTTGAGCAAATTACTAAACCAGAAAAAAGCTACTCTGGCTGTGTTTTTCTTACATATGAAGTTCAAATTTCAGATGTAACATAAGAATAGCATCAAATTTAACTCCAGCTCCCAGTAATGCGGCTGACTGCTATTAGCAAAGCAGGGAAATAATATTAGTCTCTGTGTTACGCATTTTATCAACATGTTCAGTTAATGGGGTTCTATTGAGTTTGTGACTTTTAAAAGGTTTCTGGTCTCCTGGCTGGCCTTACGATTTTTGACGTTTTAACTAAAGTTTTATTGGAAGTGTATTGCATCATAGTAAATGTCTCTGATTAAAAACCAACCTTTAATTTGAACGTCTAAATCCACCTCTTCAGCCATCCCGGGGTTGGAAAAGGCGACTTCTCCCTGACCAATATGGCAGGTGCGAAAACGCGTCTCGTCTTCTTTTTCAACTACCCAGCATGCACTGCTGGGTAGTCGCCATTTTTCTTGTTATGGTGGGCTGTCAGCAGCGTCTTCGCAGTTCTGGAACAATATTTAGTTAAATTCGTATATTGAACGCCTTTATTCGCTGTTTCTTTGTTATTATTCTTTCCGCGGGAGCTTCGAAGATAAAGATACCGACATGGCGCAGTACAAAGGAGCTGCCAGCGAGGCGGGCAGAGCCATGCAGCTCATGAAAAAACGAGAGAAAGAGAGGGAGCAACTTGAACAGCTCAAACAGAAGATAGCAGAGGTTTGGAACATCTTAGATGCACGTGCTTATGAAAAAATGCTCCTGTCATTGTGAGCGTGATTTACTTCTGCTTACTCAAGTAACTCATAGCTGTCACCTATCAGTAACTTGTTTGTAAGCAGTTACTTTTGGAATAGTTTTTCCCTACAGAGTTATGCTTCGCACTTGGTTTTACGTCCTATTCAAAATTAATTCGAATATTCTGCATATAGTTTAGCTACAGGAACCCATGGACGGGTGTTTGTAATGTTAAGTGTTTAAAAAACGGTAAATAGCGGAATTAAATCAAAAATATAGGTGCAAGTTTGGCGATTTCATGACTGTACATTCAACAAAAAATATAAACGCACATGAATATTAAAATCTTTACTACAGTGAAGTATGGTGAGGATCTGACTCATCTGATTCTGATGTACAAATGTAGAGAACTCAAAATATTTACATTTTGGCCTTAATTTAAATATTTAATTGTTTTTTTTAAAACTTTTAATTATGCTTCAATCGACTCCATACTGTTTAGCTGTAAGAACAATAAAATTAAAAGTCAAATTAGATTGATTACATCTAAATATTTTCGGTGAATCTCAGTATTTTGAAACTTATTTTTATTTACCTTCTCCGTGTTGTAAAAGTCATCCTTGTTGAATGTTTTCAGTCCTTTCATTGCGTAGATCTCCTGTTGACTTTTATCCTTCTTGGCTCAGCACTGCCCCCTCTCAGTGCAGTTCGGTACTTTCCGCTATTGCAAGAGCATTTTCAAAGCATATCTGTCAGATCAGAAAGGCTGCATATCACAGAAATTTCTATTAATGACATTAATGGAATATCAACATGTGGAGCACACACGTTGATGTGCACGAGTGAATTAGTTCTCTAAGTTTTGGAATTTTTGGGTCAACCAATGTTTGATTTGTATTTCTTTGTCTCTACCTTGGTGCATGTTGGTTGTTGCAGGACAACATGGTCAAAGCCAACATTGACAAGAAATTTTCTGCTCACTATGATGCTGTGGAAGCAGAGCTAAAGTCCAGCACTGTTGGTAAGTATGTTTGACAATTTTACTGACATTGACTGAATGTTTGCTTTTTTCCAAACATTCTGTACTTCAATGTTTGAAACAGGTCTGGTGACCTTGAATGACATGAAGGCCAAGCAGGAGGCACTGGTGAAGGAGAGAGAGAAGCAGCTGGCCAAGAAGGAGCAGTCCAAGGAACTGCAGCTGTGAGTGAACACAGTTTGATTTAAATGATCTGAGTCTCTTCAGATCAGTCTGCCGTCCACAAGCCAAAATAACTTCACTCAGGTGTAAAGGGGACTTAATTAACTCAGCAATTCCAAGTTGGAAAGACCTCAGTAATGACTGTAGAGAAACAAAGCTTGCTACCCATCAAACTTGGCAAATGTTCCGAACAATCAAAAGTCCATAGTTTCACTAAAGGTTATTCACAAGGGATAGACAATAAATCAGTAATAATATATATTGCAATAGACACTTGACCAAAGCCAATAATATTGATCATTGATAACTTAGGCCGCTCATTCTCTCACGGCTAGCTAAGTAAGGTAGGTGGCATCAGCAAGGTCTTGTTTTTATGATTGTAGAGTTTCACTTTCAGAACGTCCCAAACATTCTCAATGGGATTTTAAAATCTGGACTGCATTCTGGCTGATATTTCACAATCCATTGTCAGAAGAACAAGAATCTTTTTGCTGCTTGGCAACAGTGCTACTAACTACATTCATGCTGCTTCTGCTGTGGTTGAATTCTCTCATCCAAAGAAGGAACACAAACACTTTCATACCATCTGTTATGAAGTGTTTGCTGCTGATCAAACACAAACGCTGTTTGATCAGCAGCAAACACTTCATACTAGTTGTGTTAAATGTCTGTCTTTATGGAGTGGTTGAGAAAATTCACCGCAACATAAGACCCAAACACAGCAATCAGCAAGCCTTCAACAGAATGCCTGAAAGAGTCAAAGTGTTGAAATGGTTAAAAGTCCAAACCCTAACTCAGTTTAAAAAAAAGTTTTTTTTAAACTGAGTTTAAAAAAAAGTTTAAAAAAAACTCCAAAGTAGCTCCACGGAAACAGATGTCTGAATCTATGTGAGAAACTGATAAAGTCTAACAGAAAGCCTACATGTTTCACTGCTAATGATGACTCTACAATCTATGGAGGAAATGCACTTAGTTTTTTAAACACACACATATCTTCTCCATTTTGACTTTGTCTTTATATGTAGGCCTGAAACATTAACCTGAAACATTTAGCCATGGCTACATTTAGCCATGCCCTGGTTTATTCTGCAGAGGTTGCCAAATATCCATATTTAGTTTGTGCTTTTTTTCCACCTTCAGTCTGCAGATTTCTAAAAATCATTCAGGGTGAATACTGACAAACTTGTATACTGATTGATTATTTCCCTACCTAAAAAAAAGGTGACAATTATTTAATTAAACAACTAAATAACTTTGGAACAATTAAAGTTTTTCAGTACACGGAATAGCTTACAGTCTTTTTTTCTTGTTGCATACACTGATCCACTTTTTACGCTTCTGATACCAACATCTGAGATTCAGTATTGGCCAATACTGATCCAATACAGAAAAAATAGTTCTAAATTGACTCAAAACATGATTTTTTTCTTGAACACAGATGTGAGTATACTGAATTACCAATTTATTTGATAACTCTGCATCAATGCAGCACAAATAAATACATCAACAGTTATAAGCTTGATCAAACATGTAAAATCATCTTTAATGTGTTCAATTAGTGCAACTAGGAGTATAGCAGCCAATGTAAAATAAATAATAAAGAAAATAAACTGGCAAAAACAACAAATTGACTACCTTTGTCAAACATGTAAAAAATAAACTGCAACAAACATTATTTCAAATTGTTCAGAAAGAGCAGTTAGCAATTCTAAATATAATGTAAAATAAATAACAAACCATGACGTTGCTCATGGCATAGAATAAGCTGCCCTTATAGATCAGGCACATTGTCACCAATACTCAATCTGCAATTTCTTTCAAAATTGGGACAGAAACAGAAATTAATATTGGATTGGAAAATCAGTTTTTTTTTGGTTTTCTTCTACCAATGTTCTCTGTGAGTTTCCATAGTTACGTCACCACGGCCACGGTGGCCATCTTGATAGACAAAAGTATTGTTGACTTGTGGTTACGTTGTGTTGTTCAGGTGTTCCCTTTATTTTTTGAGTAGTCTGTTTAAGCAAGATATAGATTTAATATTCTGTAAAAACCAAAGCATTTTTCTGGTGTTGCTGCTTGTTTATTGAGCTTTAGAGGAGCAAATTGATGTTTGCATTTTGTAGGATTATCACCTTCTATCTAACATTGGCCTATTTTTAAATGCAGTTTTCTTTAGATTTATTTATTTATTAACATCATTTGTGTAAAAAATATGTTTTAGTTGTCTTCTTTGGCTGACTTTGCTGGAGTTTACAACCAAAGAAAAACATTTCAGTCTCTATAGCATTTTCTTTCCCTGAACTAGTTCCCCTCAAATCATTTGAAGATATTTCTCAAAGTCTAGGCTCAGGATTTTATTGCATGTTCTTTTGGGGTCCTTGGAGAACTTTTTAGGTCTGGGCTGGATTTCACCCCATCTTTCATCTGCTTGAAAAAAGTCATGATTTACCTTCTACCTCATAACAATGTTGCAACCATCGGCTTTAAATACAAAGTCCTACATTTATACACTTTTGATGTGCAATATGATGGATGACTGCTTACAAAAAGATGACCATTTATTATTTTTATTTTACCCAATGATATATCTGCTTTGACAAAACCACTAGAGTTTTAGTATAAATGTGAAGGTATTTAAATTGGAAGCAGACTCTCAGAAAGACTGGGCTTTGTTAGCCAAGGGCAGGACCATTTGTTTTGCTCTGCTGTCAGTTCAATACAAACAGCCTAAAAGCAGATTTATGCATTTGACAGGACTGTTTTCAATCTGAACTGTTCCTCCAGGAGCAGATGTAAATTAAAAAGCTGAAATTGGACACATTCCCTACATCGTAGTGGTTCTCGTATTTCCCTTGGAACTTTTGCTTCTGTTGAAAACAATTTAAAGACCACCCACACAACCAGTGTTTTTGTTCTAGTCAATCAGCTTTTTTCTAGCTGATTTAAAGGCCATAAAGGCCAATATATGAATTGTCTTAATGTCTCCCACTGTAATAAATTAACCCAAATCTGTTTATAGCTCCGGAA